CACCAAAATGGTCTTTGTTCTTCTATCAACGAATCTCTTTCTTACTTTTCCCCTTCGCCTCTCCTTTTCCTTCTTCGTCTTTCTCTCCGTCGTACTCCCCCCCCCCCCCCCCCCCCCCCCCCCCTTGACGCCACGGCCTGACCTCCAATCGACCTCTCATGGTCTCCATCCCTCCCCTTCTCCCCATCCCATTCGTCTGTCTCCCCAATGGCAGCGATTCTCGCTGAGTTCGCGGCACACGAAGAAGGTGAGATGGAGGTCGCAGTGTTGAAGGGATCGTGAGTGTGTCTCGCGATGCCATTAGTGCCGCATCGCTGCGTTGGCATTGACCTCGCGATGCATCACATGCCTAGGATGCCAGCCAGCCCTGCACAGTGTCTATCTATGCTCTCATCTCGTATCTCGCACCTCGTATCACGCATCACGTATCACGGCTGAGAATTGTCAAGGATCATTTTTTAGATACAAGCTTCGCCATCCCGTTCCCCTGTTTCTCCATTCCCCGATGTCCCCATCCACCCATTCCCCAGCCATTCAGCAGCAGGACCACACGTGTTTGAACCAGGCAGTGGCACAGGCGTACGAGGGAGTGACGATGGCCGCACTGACTGTCGTTGCCCATCCCATTCCCCCATCTCCCTACGTCCCCACTCGCCAGCCATCCAGCAGCAGGACCACGAATACCTGACCTGAGCCAGGCAGTGGCACAGGCGTACGGGGGCGTGAAGGTGCACCGAATCTCCCCTACCTTGCCATTGCCGCATCCCCCCATTTCGCCCCTTCCTCCTTCTTCTTCCCCCACTCCCCAGCCATCCAGCAGCAGGACCACGCATATCTGAACCAGGCGGTGGCACAGGCGTACGAGGGCGTGAAGGTGGGCGCACTGACTGCCTTCCCATCGCCCCCCCCCATCCTCCCCCATCCGCCAGCCGTTCAGCAGCAGGACCACGCATATCTGAACCAGGCGGTGGCACAGGCGTACGAGGGCGTGAAGGTGGGCGACGGGGGCCCGTTTGGGGCCGTGGTGGTGCGCGAGGGGGAGGTGGTGGCGGCATGTCACAACATGGTGCTCAGAAACACGGACCCCACGGCACATGCTGAAGTCACAGCCGTCAGAGAGGTATAAAGATGGTTTGGTTTGGTACTGTGCGGTGCAGTACGGTACGGCTTTGTGGCACAGCATGCTGGTGGTGCGCGATTGGGAGGTGGTGGCGGCATGTCACAACATGGCGATGCGGAACACAGACCTCACGGCACATGCTGAAGTCACGGCAGTGAGAGAGGTATGGCATACCATGGAAGGGGTCTCGCTGTGTGTCCATGTGCTCTCTCCGTGCCCCTATGTGCATCTGAGATACAGCACACTGTGGTGGTGCGCGAGGGCGAGGTGGGTACGGAAAGATAGGGCTCTTGCTGTGTGTGTCTCTGTGTGCATGTGTACCACAGCATGCGGGTGGCACCTTCTCTGTCAAAACGTTCCGTGTTTTTCCTCCAGAGCTCTCTCTTTGCACTCATTGCCCTTCCTCTCCCTGCCTCTCCTCTCTCCAGGCATGCAGGAAGCTGGGTCGCTACGACTTGTCAGACTGCGAGCTGTATCTCCTGGTGATGAGCCACGACCTGTCAAACTGTGAAACGCATTTTGATGCAATACCCTCCCTTCCACCCCTTCACATGCTTCGTTCCTCGTCTCTTCGCCCAGGCATGCAGGAAGCTAGGCCGCTACGACCTGTCAGACTGCGAGCTGTATGCCTCGTGTGAGCCGTGCCCCATGTGTTTCGGCGCCATCCATCTCTCCAAGATTAAGGTGTGCCCTTCCGCCCTTACGCGCTCACATGAGCCGTGCCCCATGTGTTTCGGCGACACCCAAATGGACAAGTCTTCGGCTCTCAAGCCTACTAGCCCGTGCGTTCACCATTGCTGAGGTGCTTCCACCCTTCTCTGAGAAATCTCAAAAGTCTTCTCTCGCCTTCAAGCCCACCAGGAACTTTTGACTTTGATGCCCCATGGATAACCACGTTTTAAGAGCGCGGTTCAAGACAAATCTTTGGCTCTCAAGCCTAGTAGCCCGTGCATTCACCATTGCTGAGGTGCATCCACCCTTTTCTGAGGAACCTCAAAAGTCAACTCTTGCTTTCAAGCCCACCAAGAATATTTACTTTGATGCCCCATGGATAACCACGTATTAAGGGCGTGGTACATTGTTGTTCAAGATGTGTTCATTGGGCATTCAAGACTTCAACAGTTATAGGGTTTTTGGGTTCCTTGATTGGTTACAAGAGTACAGTCCTAAATGTACCAGGCGGGCCTGGACGACAGGTCAGCAAAGCTGGCGGTGGTGATGGCGACAGTGGGGGCAGTGAGGGCAGAGGCGGACGCGGTGGTGCAGCGCATGGGGGACAAGAGGGCTGCGTGGGAGGCTGCCTTGGTGTCAACCTTCCTGTACATACGCGTCTAATACATGACAGCGTTGACACGAAGGCAGCCTCCCACGCAGCCCTCTCGTCTCGTCCCCCATGCGCTGCACCACCGCGTCCGCCTCTGCCCTCACCGCCCCACCGTCGCCACGCCATCACCGCCGCCAGCTTTGCTGACCTATCGTTCAGGCCCGCCTGGTGGGGTAACACGGAGGGGGGGGGGGGGGGAATTAGACAGCACGGAGGGGGAGAGTGATTGGATAGCATGGAGAGGGAGAGTGAAATCACAGCACGGAGGGAGGGGTGATTTGGAGTTTTCTCCATACTCCTTATGTAACCACCAACTTCTTTAGCTTCTCTCGTCCGACCACCACGCTTTAGCTTGCCCAAATGCTGCTACCGACTCCAGCACCAACTCCAGCACGCATTGAGTTGAGTTTTGAGGCGCCTCAAAACTCAGCTTGCCCAAATGCTGCTACCGACTCCAGCACCAACTCCAGCACGCGTTGAGTTGAGTTTTGAGGCGCCTCAAAACTCAGCTTGCCCAAATGCTGCTACCGACTCCAGCACCAACTCCAGCACGCATTGAGTTGAGTTTTGGGGCGCCTCAAAACTCAGCTTGCCCAAATGCTGCTACCGACTCCAGCACCAACTCCAGCACGCGTTGAGTTGAGTTTTGAGGCGCCTCAAAACTCAGCTTGCCCAAATGCTGCTACCGACTCCAGCACCAACTCCAGCACGCATTGAGTTGAGTTTTGAGGCGCCTCAAAACTCAGCTTGCCCAAATGCTGCTACCGACTCCAGCACCAACTCCAGCACGCATTGAGTTGAGTTTTGAGGCGCCTCAAAACTCAGCTTGCCCAAATGCTGCTACCGACTCCAGCACCAACTCCAGCACGCATTGAGTTGAGTTTTGAGGCGCCTCAAAACTCAGCTTGCCCAAATGCTGCTACCGACTCCAGCACCAACTCCAGCACGCATTGAGTTGAGTTTTGAGGCGCCTCAAAACTCAGCTTGCCCAAAAGCTGCTACCGACTCCAGCACCAACTCCAGCACGCATTGAGTTGAGTTTTGAGGCGCCTCAAAACTCAGCTTGCCCAAATGCTGCTACCGACTCCAGCACCAACTCCAGCACGCATTGAGTTGAGTTTTGAGGCGCCTCAAAACTCAGCTTGCCCAAATGCTGCTACCGACTCCAGCACCAACTCCAGCACGCATTGAGTTGAGTTTTGAGGCGCCTCAAAACTCAGCTTGCCCAAATGCTGCTACCGACTCCAGCACCAACTCCACAGCTCCTATCAAACAGCAGCAGGTGCACAGCGCATAGCTGACCATTGCTTCTAATTACCTCCCTGTGGAACCCATGCAATGCACTATCTCCCGTCCTACCACTTGCAAGCCGAGAGAACCACTCCCCACCTCCTCCCATCCCCCCCCTCCATTCCCCCCCCCCTCTCTTAATCGCACAACCACCCACCAGTGGGTGGTGTACGGGGCGCAGGCAGAAGTTGCAATGGCCATTGGCTTTGGCACTTTTATTGCTTACGCAAACTGGGTTGCTTTTACTATCCCCTGCTCACACCCTCCTGCCTTCTCTCTCCTCCCCACCACTCCCACCCCTTTCCCAACCCACCAGCGGCTGGTGTACGGGGCACAGGCAGAAGCAGCCCTGGCCGTTGGGTTTGACGATTTCAGTGCTGATGCCATTCGCGGCACAGCCGACTACCAGAAAGCCACACCCTTTCACCTTTTCACCTTCTCCCACCATCCCCGTTCCCCCTCTTCTACTTTTGCACCCACCAGCGGCTGGTGTACGGGGCGCAAGCAGAAGCAGCGCTGGCCATCGGATTTGACGATTTTATTGCGGACGCCATCCGAGGCACGGCCTACTACCAGAAGGCGAGTCTGCAGATCCACAAGGCAGAGGGACACGTGGCTGCTGCTGCAGAGGAGGTGTTTGAAAACACCAAGTCCAAGTTCCAAATGTACTGAAGTGACTGGATCGTCTGGGGACATTTCCATTCTGTTTTTCAAGTACGGTAGCGGCTGCAGCTTCGGAGTTCCTTTGACAAGTTTATAATCTCGAGTGTGAAGTGTTTATTGAACGCTGCAAGGCAGATGGTGAAACAGTCATGGATCAGAGCCAACATACCAGTCTTCCTGTTCCATTTTGTCTTGTATTTTTGTTTTAGTGGCATGTCAATGTACGGTACCGTAAATAAAGGTGTAACACGTCGTGTTCCAACTGTCCTCAGCCCTTCACAATAACGAGCCAGGTTAGGGTTTCAATAGCGCGGTTCCCTTGGCTTTCTCCAAACCCTCCTTGCCCCTCCCCCATCCCCCTTCCCCCTCCAAAACCTCCTTCCACCTTCAATTGCTCCTTCCTTTCGTCTTGCCGTGCCTCCCTTCCTTGCGAGCACGAACCACCCACAGTGCAGTGCAGGCGTGACAGGGAGACTAAGCTCAGACAGGCGCCTATTACCCCTCCATTTTTCACCGAAACGCATCTTCTTGGCTTAGTTTTCTTCGGCCTTACCTTCCGTCCATCCGTATCAACGAAACCCGGTCAATTCGCACTTCAGCGCGATGGCTTTAGCTCCGGCGCTCTTAAAGCCCGTGATGGACTTTAGGTTCCTGGATGAGGGTACCGGCGGGGATAAGAAGCGCAAACGACAAAAAGATGAGCGCGAGGCGAAAGCCGCCGCCGAAGCCGCGGAGGAGGAAGCCGCCGCCGCGGATCAACCGGGCGACATGGCAATTGACGGCGACGGCGCTGACGGCCAGCCGACAGCTAAACGGCAAGCCGTTCCCATGGCCGACGACGAGAACCGGCCGTCGTTTGGTCGGCCGTCGTACGACGGAGTGATCGCAGGGAAGGCTTCGGGTCGCAAATGGAAAACCGTGCGAACGACGAGGTCATCCGCGCTAAGAGTCACCGGCCGGAAGGAGGTTTCGTTAGAAGAGAAGCGAAGGCAGCGAGAGCTTAAGAAGGCGTATAGGGAACGGAAGGAGGAGTTGAAGGAGGAGATTAGGAGCAACAAGCAGGCGAAGCGAGCCGCGGCGCAGGAGAAGCAGCGGCGGAAGGAGGAGAATGCGCTCAAGGGCGCGGTGCTGCAACGAATCACGAACCCGAAGACGATCAAGAAAATGTCGAAGAAGCAACGACAGAGCCTCGTGAAAGTCTAAGGTGAGCCGCGGCGGAGGGGAGTTGAAGGGGCTGTGATGCTGCTGTGCCGTGCGAACGACAGAGCGTTGCAAAAGTGTAAGGCGTGTTGGCTTCTTGTGAGTTCAACTCCTGAGTGCTTTCTACACGTAGTGTGAGGACCCAGGGGTCGTCACTCATGGGGAAGAGCAGAAAAGTGGAAAAGAAATGTGATCTCAACACCTGATTGTTAGCTCAGGTGTTGAAGGCGCAAAGCCGAAGCCTCGTGAAAGCCCGTAGGTCATGTGGGGTGTAGCAGCACGGGTTCAAGGGGTGATGTTGAAGCGAAGACAAAAGGCCTCAGACAACTCAGGGTATGTGATGGTTGTTGTCCAGATGTGTCTGCCAAGGTACGTCATTGCTGTAACGGTGCGCCATGGCGGTATGTCATGGCTGTGACTGTGAGTCATGGTTGTGAATGTGTGTCGTGGTTGTCAAGGCATGGTAGCCTCGTGTGTAAATGCAATGCACAGACTGTAAACGTGTTGACGCCCAAACTTGGCAGGCAAAGAGTTCTGTTGCATAGTCGATTTTAAAAGGGGGGAAGGGGGACAAGCACTTGAAAGGAAGTACAGTCATGGACAACAAATTCAGCACTTGGATTGTTGTGACGGTTCATGTTTCGTTGCGAATCATTTTCCAGAATCTCCAACGTTTCCATCCATCATGTGTTACGTCCTTTGATAGCTTTGAGAAAAAGTTCCTTCAATCCTCCGTATTTGCCCCACCCTTCTTGTCCGCGCTTCTTCAAACTGCTGCTTATGCGCGACCCTCATTTGACCATCATTCAACCTGCATTCAAGGCCAAGGACTGAACCAAACGCAGCCAGACCCTCATTCTCTCCTCCCTTTCCGTTTCCCCCCCGATGCCATCCCGTTGCTGTTTCCACAGGAAGAGGATTGCCAGTGCCGCACGAGGCAACGATCTGTCTGAGACTGAGGAGGGGAGGGGAGGCGAGCAGGGTAAGGGACGATGGCGAAGAGTGAGAAGAGGCGAGAGGGTGTACAGACGAGGTGGTGTGAGGGGGTACGTGTGTGTTCTGCTGCTGGTTGCTGCTGATTGGTGCTGTTGCGTGGGACAGTAGGGTGACGCAGAAGATTCTGCTGAGGCATGAGCATTCGCCTGATGCATTGGTGGTGTTGACGCACACAATCACACAGACTGCATAAGCTTCGTGGCACGGTTTTCTTCGGAATGTTGAGCCTTGTCCATTATGTACTTCTGAAGTGGCCTTTTTGTACCATACTCTTTGTCTCAAGCAAAATTTGATTTACTCTAAATTCTTCCTCTTCAATGCATGCTCTTCACACAGTCCATGTGGCGTTTGAGACATCAACAATCTACCTTGGCATTATTACCATACTACTCTCCACACAGCGCCACCACTTCCAACCAATGCTGCTCCCAAGGAATGCTAACGAAGCCTCAACCCATACATCTTCTCAAGCCCCTTCATGGTTTTGTCATCAGGCAACCTTCTGCTACCTCCAACGGACAACCACCGCAGCGCCTTGAGCTGTGTTATCCCCTCCGGTAGAGCCTCCAGCTGCTCGCAATTATCCAAGTCCAGAATCCTGAGCCGGGTCAACCTTTCGAAGTTGGGAGGGAGGGAGCGGATGGAGCAGCCAGTCAGGTGCAGGCTGTTGAGGCAGGCGAGCCGGGTGAGGGAAGCAGGGAGATGCACCAGGGCTGTGCACTCAGACAGATCCAGAGTGCGTAATCTGGACAGAGAGCCGATGCCATCAGGGAGGGAGGCCAGTTTTGGCGCATGGACCTCAAGTGATGTGAGGTGCTGAAGCATTGCAATGCTTCCAGGCAGCTCATCCAACTCTGCAGCCTCATGAACGTGCAGCTGCCGCAGCTGCTGCAATGTTGAGCCCAGATCCTCCGGAAGGATTTTCAGCCCTGCAGCTTTCCAAATCGTCAAGGTACGAAGGTGAGAAAGAGATGCCAAGAAGAAAGGAATCTCCTGCATATCATCTGCCAAAACCAGCTCCAATCGCGTCAGACATGAAAAATCTCGGCTCCGCACCATATCATAAGTGACATCACCGGTTCCCCAAGGCAACCCCCTCAGCTCCGACAACATAGAGAATGGCGACAATGGGGTGGTGTGCTGCTGGTTGATCGGGAAGGACAAACGCTCAAGAGAATGCGGCAGATTTGTCGGAAGTCTCTGCAGCAGCGCACATCCTCTAATCTCCAGCCTCTTGAGCCTGACAACACCCTCCAGATTCATGGGCATCCGAGTAAGCCGAGTACACTTCACAACCCTCAACATCTCCAGGCGCCTGAGACTTGTAATTGACTCAGGAAGCTCCTGCATAGCGGCACACAAGTGGATGTAGAGCTCTTTGAGCTTTGTCAGTCGACTGATGCCTTCGGGAATCTCAGTTAATGCGCACTGATCGAGCTCAAGCCGTGTTAGAGACGAAAGCTGAGTGAACGAAGATGGCAGCTGCTGTTGTGCTTTCTGAGAAATCAGGAAAATGGACTGTAGGTTGGTGAGCTCCCCAATATCCTCCGGAACTGAGACATTTGTCACCGATTGAAGGCATAGCAGTTTGAGTGAGGGAAGGGACGAGAATCCTGCAGGCAGCTGGTAGAGGTTTTTACAATTGACCAAGCAGAAGGTCTCTAGGGATAAAAGTTGGCTGAAGGAGTCCGGGAGATATGAGAGTGGGAGCGAATCCAGCACCAATGTCTTCAAGGCAAGCAACTCCCCGAACTTTTCTGGCAGAAATTCGATTTTGGACGAACGGATCTTCAGAATCTGCAAGCTGCTGAGGGACATGAACGCGTCAGACAAATCGGTCAAATCCCAGCAATCAGTGAGGCTGCATTCTTCAAGACATGGAAACATGTCCCCAATGTCATCAGGGAAACGCGGAAAGTCGTGGGAATCTACTAGCACCAGACGCTTCAGAGAGCTGCACGCGGATCCTGAAGGGAACGCTAAGTTGAATTTGGGGGAATTGTCGAATTCCAGAGATTGAAGCGATGGAAGTTGTGCGAAAGAAAAGGACGAAGAACGTATTCTAACGTGAGTCTCCCACATGAAGGATAGGCTGGTAAGGCTAGGGAGGTGAGCGAGAGGTAACAAATCCTCTTCATCTAAGTCTCCCGTCTCGATGACAATGGTTGATAACGAAGAAAGATTTTGGAGTCTTGAATCAATTAATACTGAAACGTCGGTCAGGAACATCCAGCGCAGGTTCTCGAGCTGAAAGAGCGAAGGTGGTAACTGGTCGCTTTCGTGGAAGCAGTGGAGTGTCAGCTGCTCCAGGCGAGAGCAGCGACGAAGAAAACTGTCGACACCAGCCCTGGTCACCAGATGAAACTTCTTATCCTCTCCATTTTCACAAAAGTCTGGTGCGTTCTCTTTTGCCACGTGGAGATTTTTCAGTTGAGGACACGAAGATGCGAGATGATCGAGGAAAGCGTCGTCAATATTTTCCACGCTGTTAGCAGAGAGGTGCAGATGCGTTAGATTCGGGAAGCAGGCGATCGCGTTTGAGAGGTCCTGGAGCGAAACGACGCGGTATTCTCCAACGAACAGCGTCGAGACGTTAAGCCGAGCGAGAGTGCGCCATCGACGGCAAACAGCTGCAATGCTAAGGCTGTGAGCAGCGTCGGCTGAAGCAGGAAATTTCGGTGACGGAATTTCGATGTCTTCATGAAACAGCACTTCAGGTTCAACCAGGATCTCTTTAGCACGGCCAGCCCTCGATCGGTCCCACGGAAGCTCACAATCAGATAGTCGAACACTAAGGCGATTGGAATGCCAGAAAATCCTGACTAGGAGATCGTCAGGCAGATTGTTCACGTACGTAGAAAACGCCATCTTTGGAGTCGAAACGGATGTCAGCAAGTGAGCAGTTCGCCAAGCTTTCGTGAAACCAGCAAAAACGAGATTCAGCGAGAGGCAATATAGTTTCCAGATGTAGGTATGGCGGCACCTATTACTGGTGACAATGGTCTAATCCGTTCCTCTCCTCGGCTGATGGTCCATCGCGTTCTGCTGGGATCCCTGGATGCAGACCTCAGGGAGCGTACACCTTGTTTTTCTGTGTTCGTCACACGCAGTGCCACTGTGTTCCTGACCAATGTAAAGAGCTCTGGGATGCAACCGAGAGTTGATTTGGAAACAATCACCCTTGACATCCCCTCTGCCTCTGCTTCGCAAAATTATTCAAAAACTCACACTACCACAGCTGATTTCGACTAATCGCATTTTACCTCACCAAACCGTCCCTTCCTCTGAAAATCAGAAGCTTTTCAATTAAGCTCGACCCCCCTATTTCATGGACTGTTTCAGCAAGCAGAGTACCACGTCCTGAGTTACTGCCCTGATTTGGTTGGACTCGAATTACTGGTAGAGTTCTCGAGGAGAAACTCCAGACAGGGAATGTCGCCAGATACGGTAGCTTGTTCTGTGTGAATTTGGTGAGGCGCCATGGCGTTAGGGTGGGGTTTATTTGGAAGAATGGAATGAGCATAATGCGCCAAAGCTAACAATAAGAAAATGAGCAGAAAGAGAACTTATGCTTATCAAGGTGCAATCAGCTGCTCCCCAAGCCTTTCTATACATTATTTCAGAGCAACCAAGCTCACATGATCCAGCCTATCGCTACATATTGGTGAAATGTGACACTTGACATCCCATCCCAGCACGCCTCACAACTACCATACATCTAAACATGATAGTAACCCCTATCCTTGTTTCAGCTCCACCCTGCATGCCCCTTGCAATCACCATCACCACCACCCAGTGTCCTCAATACCCCTCCTCTCCCCACCCCACCTCCTCCCACCTCTTCCTCCTTTCTTTCCCCAAACACCACATCACCCTGTTGAACCACCACCTTTATAAGTGAACCCAAGCACATCGGAACACAATCAAGTCTTCCTCATATTTCTTGCCCGCCCCACTCTGTGTACTCCCACCAGCAGCACCACCACCCACACCAGCACCACTCCCTGTCCCCCCTGCTCCCTCCTTGCGCCCAAACACCAGCTCACCCAGCTCAGCCAAGTTCCCTCCTCCTCGTATGATCTATTCTGTCCCTGCATCTAACCTCAAAACACAATCAGATCGTCCTCTTCTTTCTTGCCCGCCCCACTCTGTGTACTCCCAGCACCACCACCCGCACCACCAGCACCACCACCTGTCCCCCCTCCTCCCTCCTTGCGCCCAAACACCATTTCATCCAGCTCAGTCAACCCTCGCTCCTCCTCACATGCTCCAGACTCAAAACACGATCAAATCGTCCTCTTCTTTCTTGCCCGCCCCACTCTGCGTGCTCCCCCCTGCAGCTCCAGCACCACCAGCACCCCCTGTCCCTGCTCCCTCCTTCCTTCCAAACACCATTTCATCAAGCTCAGCCAATTCCCTCTCCTCCTCACTCATCCCTGCTCTCCTATTCCCCCCTCCCCGGTTCCTCACCAGCCCTCCAGCCCCACCCTCCTCCTCCTCATCCATCGTAAGGAAGGCAGCAGCTGGGGGAGGCACAACTGGCGGCACAGCCGTCGCAGCCGCACCTGCTGGTTGCTCTGCTGCTGCTGCCGCCGCTGCATCTCCTGCCCCTACTCCTGCGCCACCTCCCCCTCCTGCTCCGGCCCCAGCAGCAGCAGAGGAGGCTTGTTTGCGGAGCTCAGCTAGCTTTTCAAGTACTTTGTCGATGTCGTCATTTAGGCTGAGCGCCTCGAACAGGAGCGTCTCGCTGGGAGCCTCTGAGTTGCTGTTCTCGTGCTCGATCAGCCGTAGCAGACTGCTCTTGGCCGCCCGGCACTGCGCTGCCAATGCTGGCACCACCTCGTCCTGTTAAGATAGGGTTTGGGGCGTAAGACAGAAGGTTCAGATTGGTAATGGAAAAGTAGGCAAAGGAGAGGAAAGAAAGAAAACAGGGAGAACGTAGAGGGAGGCAAGAGAAAGGTGGCAAGTGACCTGTGGGTAGTGATACCATGGGTGAGGTGGCAGCGCCATGGCTGAGGTGGCACTCTTGTGTGTGAGGAGGTAACAACCACCCCCTTCTATGCCATCCCTACGCCCTGTTACATATCATGCCACCATGCACCCAACCA